CAATGAAAGATCCTAAACCCTAAACACTAAACCCTAAACCCTTAAACCCAGAAGCTGTCAATGAAAGATCCACCCTTCAGGGTCCATTGCTGCTCCTCGGACTTCTGCTTCTGACCCGTCGGGAATGGATCTGAAGTCCACTCCCACACCTGGGCCGCTGTTGGGCTATGGCTCTACAAGGGTTTAGGGTTTGGAGTTTGGGGCTTAGGATGTAGGATTTAGGGTTTAGGATTTAGGGCTTAGGGTTTAGGGTTTAGGATTTAGGGTTGGGGCTTAGGTTTAGGGTGTAGGATTTAGGGTTTAGGATTTAGGGTTTAGGGTTTCAGGCGATCCTCCCACCCACGAACAGTGGATAGTAGGGAAGAGTAGGACCTTACTGCAATTACGGCTATTCCTTGTAAGCACCAAGAGTGCGTGAGCGGCCGCTCTTAATGACCACCCTTCTTGCCATGGTGACATGCAAGATACACAGAAAAAAAAACTCCTGCAAACAATGACCCGGATGCGTTGCCCACCATAGAGAACCTGGGTTGGAACAAACGAGGGCTAGCTCGAGTCTAAAAAGCCTGATTTGAAAGGTCATATTTGATTTGGAGCCATCAGAAGTTAGGGACCCGCGAATCCCAGAAAAAGGGACCATGACTTCCCATAGCAGTGGCAAATAGGCACTGCATTCAATTACTTTAGCGCCTCCAGCTCCACAATTAAACCCTGAGCCTTAAACCCTAATGCTAATGGCAAAACCCTAAACCCTAGACCCTAAACCCTAAACCCTAAAAACCTGCTAAACCTCTTAAGCTCCTAAAGCCTAAACACATCCCTAACTAAACCCCAAACCCAAAGCTCCAAGCTCTAAACTGCGTGTTGTCGGCTAAAAAGACTTACGGGTTAAGGGTTGTCATTTGCAAGCCAGAAGCAGACCGTAGGAGTTTGCTGGAAACGCTCGGACAGGACTAAGGCCATGGTAGCCATCCTCCACACAAAGCTGGATTGGGGCTTAGGGGTTCACTTACCTCTGGCTAAAGGAATGAAAAAAATGGAAACTACAATTCATAAAAAGGTTGCAGTCCTCCAGCAAGTTCTCGTAAGGAAAGCGCCCCTGCCAGATATTCATCTGCCATGCATCCGAATCCCCCTCCCATGGGTAAAGGGACTCCTTCCTCTTCCCTCGAGCCTTGGTCCGGCTTTAGCTTCTGCACTTGCTGCTTTTCAGATAACTTATAAGCTGGGCAAATTACAATACTTGGTAGTCTTGAATTAAGGCATAAGGCCCTTTCCGGTATATTCGCTGTAGTACTTAACTAGTAACTAGATTCGGGGATGAGCTCGTTTGGCCTCGTTGGAAGTTTCCTGCTCGTAATACCTCGTATTACCATGTGTTCCACAGAAACATACACATCAAGCCCTGGAAAGGAAGCCCCCATCAACACTCGAGGGGCCGCGTTTTCCCACTCAGCTTCAGTGGGTAACCGCTTGCCAGCCCATTCGCAGTATGCCTTTGCGTCAGTCCAGCTTATGTGCACCGCAGGATAATCTTCCCATCCTTACTTGCCAAAAAGATTCTCACATGGAAAAACTGCGGAGGGTGCATCTCAAAAATGCTAGTACTCAAAAAGGTCAGAATCTTCTACACCTGAGCAATTTCAAGGACTTCCTACTGTAATTCCGTAATCATCAACCTTGGCTATAACTATAGCATACAGCACAAACTCTAGGTCCTCGGGAATTCATTTTCATCAGAACAGCTTGAAAAAATCCATTGGAGAGGTGAGCAGCTGTCCTTGAGCGAAGAGTCCCGCCCTTCGGGATGTCGCCACCAGGCATTTGCAACAGCCACCCAATGCGGCGCGCTCTCAATATACTGGGTGGATTCTTTCAGCACCGCCTCACGCAGGAAAGGTACCTACAACAATTATGACTTGCCTCCAAAGAGGGGGTTTGCCAATTTGAGGGTCCCCAACGAAACCGCGACTCACTAGCACCGTAGCTCCAACCCAAGCCTTGTTGCAATCAGGGGCCACGTGGCAAAACCCAGCCCTCCACTGTCAACAGCAAGCGCGGAACCTATGACCTAAGAATTTACATGTGAGCCATTGTCTAAACTCCTAGTATCCCCCTTAATAAGCCCTATAGTAGTTCCCTATATAACCCCCTATATAAGACCCCTTTAAGGAGTTTAGACTATGGCTCATGTAAAATCCTAGAGACCAAACCCTATTGACCCCCAACTTTGGAACCTGAACCCCAGACCTAAGCCCTGAACCCCTAATCCAAAATCCGGCTTGCTTTTGCTGAGATTTATCATCAGTAGTATGTTGGGGTAATATTATGGCATATTATAGCATATTATCGTATATTGGGGTAATGTGGGGATGATGGAAAATGAAATGGAAACGACTGTGAGTGCCTCACTTAAGGAGCTGTTCAGAACGAAGCTCCAGCCGTATTTCTCGGCATCCGTCTTGAACTTAGTTTCCTGGCAGGATTCAAGTTTAGAGTCCGGCTTAAGTAGAAAGAATATGAGGTATATGGGGATCTTATCCTCAAAGCCATATTCTATCTACTTAAGGGGGGCTACAGAGTCTTTAGGGTTTAGGCGAATCTTTAAAGGGCGGTTTAGGGTTTAGCGTCTTAAGAGTCAGGGCTTTCGAAACTTCTAGGACCTTTTTGGTGCTGCGGGGGCTCGTGAATGGGTCGTTCTGGACAGTAAATATCTTAGGCACCAGTCTTGAATTTGACTTCCTAGGCGGAACTCAACAGATTACAATCAATCACGGACCTCCTGTTGGCCGCGTGTAGGGATTGAATGTATCGGATACCCTAAACCCTAAACCCCAAATACAATCTAACGGGCATTTGGCAGATTCCACGGAAAGAAGTCCCACAACTTTCGACTGAAGAAACAAAACCTTAAACCTCAACTCCCAAACCCCTAAACCCTTTATTTTGACCGTATTGAAGGCGAAGCCGTGTGACCCCTAGAGTCTAAACCCCCAAGCCTTAAACTCCTCTAACAAACCAAAAATCTTACCCCTTAAACCCTAAACCCTAAACCCTGAACCCTCAACCCTGAATAGTTGTTTCCATTTTCTTTTCCATTATCCCAATATAACCTCTATACAACCCCAATATATCCTCTATGTATACCCTAAACCTTAAACCATAAATCCCTTGACCCTAACCCTGAACCCTAAACCCTAAACCGTAAATCCCTTGACCCCAACCCTAAACCCTAAACCCTAAATCCCTTGACCCTAACCCTAAACCCTAAACCCGAGCCCCTATACAACTCCTTGACGAATGCGCGGAACTGCGCATTGGTGACCGGCGTTTCGTCAATTGCGTAGGCCTGCAGTGAGATCTGCTTCGTCCCAGGGGCTCCTGGTTTAGGGTTGAGGGTTTAGGGGTTCAGGGTTTAGGGTTTAGGGTTTAGGGTTTTAGGGTTTTAGGGTTTAGGGTTTAGAGTTCAGGGTTGGGGGTTGAGGGTTGGGGGTTTGGGGTTTAGGGCTTAGGGTTTAGGGTTTAGGGCTTAGGGTCTGAAAGAGAAAGATCAAACGGAGCTGAATAGGGCTAAGGGTTCAAGATTTAGTTTAGTAATAGGTTAAGATTTCGGGATTAGGTTCAAGGTTTGGTCAGAGTTTAGGATTTTGGGATTTGGGTTCAAGAATTGGTCAGAGTTTACAGATTGAGGAATTAGGGTTTAAGGTTAAGGGTTTGAAGCATTTGAGGTTTCAGGTCTGGGTTTGGGTTTAAGGCTAAACTCCTGGTATCTCACTTAATAACCCCTATAACACTCCCCTAGATTATCCCTATATAACCCCTTCAAGGAGTTTAGACTATAGCTCATTTAGGCCCCTACCAAGTAGCTGTTAATGTTACCATACCCTAAACCCTAAACCCCTAAAACCCTAAACCCTAAAACCATAAAACCCTAAACCTCTGAACCCCAAAACCCTAAACCCCTAAACCCTAAATCCTAAACCCTAAAACCCTAAAGCCCTGAACCCCTACACCCTAAACCCCAAAACCCCTAAACTCTCAACCCTAAACCCTAAACCCCTAGCCGCTCCTGAAAGCTCCTCACCGCCCATCTGGAAGGTCCTGGCCTCCAATTTGAGACGACTTGCACAGTGTCTATGGAACTGAAGGAGCCATTGTCTAAACTCCTAGTATCCCCCTTAATAGCTCCTATAGTAGTCCCCTAAATAATTCCCTATATAACCCCCTTTGAGGAGTTTAGACTAGAGCTCATAGGAGGGGTTTTGGAAATTGGATGAAGGCTCTCATGGGCGATGGTTGTGGGGCTAGCGGCCCTTTTTGAGTGGTCTAGGTGGTAGGCTTCAGGCGTAAAACCGTGCAGGGGAAGCTGAAAAAACTCATGGGAATCTCTTGGGGCTGAAGGTTAGGGTTTAGGGTTTGGGGGAAGTTCCCGCATTCTCCATTCCACAGCGTACCCCTGATTTGCAAGCCCCAGCTGAGTACTTTTCAGTGTTCCCTAAACAATGAACAAAAATTCTCCTGATACAAAACATGGAGGAGATTTCCCAGTGGGAGGAATTCGCAGAGGGGGTATGTAGGAGCTTTCTCCGGACCGCATGGGCTGTAAAAGGAGTTTTGTAAGGTCCCCAGCTTCTTAACTTCCCTCCTGTGGTTGCCCTAGACAACAAAGGACCCATGTTGTTGGGCAATACCCCGCTTCTGTTCGAGGCCTGAACTTACCCTAAACCCTATATCCTATACCCTAAACCCTTAACCCTTAACCCCAAAGCCGAATCCCCAACCGAGTGGCGGGAATCTTTTTCAACTTAGGCCCACGTTTTGCTGCTGCCGCAGTGCGCAGAAGCCATAGCACTTGCATCCAACGAAGGAGGCGCATCTTGTTCTTAACGGAGATACTTGGAATCTAGACCCTAAACTCTAGACCCTAAACCCCATATAATAGGGCTTACTCAGGGGGATACTAAGAGTTTAGACTATAGCCCGAATGCTTGTACAAAAACTCGGGGTCCCTTTTGGGGTTCCCCGGGTCAGGGTTGGGTGCGCCTTCGTCAAAAGGCTTCAAGATTTAGGGCCCTAATTCCGCAACCCTAAACCACTTGACTGTGGCTCATTGGTGGAGACCCAAAGAGTGCCAATGCTTTACCGATCTCTGTAGAGAGCTCTCAAGCATAACCTCGATCCAGGGTCCCGAGTGTTCGAATGCCCCAAGAGATCCGTTCTGTTGTCGGGCTGCAAAGGGTTATGAGAAAGACTTGCCAGCCCTGGGGCGTAAACTGGTTTGTATTTTCAACAGCTTGGTGCCGCGAGCAGCCAAAAAACTTCGAGCAAAAATGGCCACAGAATCAGGTGCTAGGCTCGAAATACACCAGGAGCCCAATACCTTGCATGCAGGAATAAACGTTAAATCAAATTAGGGAATCTAGGCTCATGTAAGTACATTCCTTCACTCAGAGGAATTAAGAATGGGCTCTCTAGGTAAAGAACGGGCCCCGAATGCGAACTTCAGCAGCCTTCCTTTAAATCGTTCTCTGCTCCCGTCTTTGCATGGGAAATCGGGCCAGAGGGCAGTCAAGTCGTGCACAGTCAGAACTTCACAACTGTGTGGAACAGCTGAAAACAATCTAGCCTTTTAAGGTTGTTGCTAAACGGCTCCGATCTGCATTGTGAAGCCTGCTCCTCAACGCGAGCGACTATCCATGCCACAAGGGACTTGTTGAAAGGTGTAAGTGCAAACGAAACTGAAATTCCTAAACACTACATACCCTATAAGTCCCTATAAAATCCTTACATCCCCCTCAAACCATAAATCAATGTTCCTCCCTTTCTTTATCATTTGTTCTGCTACTGCCTGTGCCGCTGCATCATCTATTTGGCCTGTGATCATTCGTAGTGCAGAGTAAGGGAAGAACTCATGCTGTGAACAAAGTGCTAGTAGAAAGTTTGGGAAAACTCGTTTTAGGGTTTAGGGTCAGGTGGTAGTTTCAACTCTATGAGCATCTTACTTCTCCATTGTCTTTGCCGTTTGACTTAAAGGGACTTTACTGGGAACCCCAAACAGGGAACCTCAAGAATATAATAGGAAAATAATTGGAATATACCTACCAGGGTCCTTGTATAAAATGATATTCCTATTATTTTCTTGTGGTTCCCCTAAACCCTAAACCCCTAAACCCTAAACCCTAAACCCTAGGCCCTTTTCTACTTAAAGGGGGACTATAATCCTAAACCCTTAACCCCAAATAATAATAAGCCCTATAGTAGTCCCCTATATAATCCCCTATATAACCCTCTTTAAGGAGTTTAAACTCATTTAAGGGGGACTATAATCCTGATGTTTGGCCTCCTCGTGTAGCTGCCACGCACGCCGGACTTCAACCTGCCGGGTCGTCCGGAAGGCATGCTTGTGTTGCATTGAAGGAATTGGTTGGGGTTTCGGGTTTAGGATTTAAGGTTTAGGGTTTAGGGTTTAGGATTTAGGGTTTAGGGTTTAGGCCTTGGGGTNTAGGGTTTAGGGTTGGGGGGGGGCCTAAATATTTTGAACAATAGAGAATCAAAGAGACTACCAAATGGAAAATGAAAACAAGACTTGAATTTCACACAGGGGCTCATGGGCGGCTTATAGAGATTGACGGTTAAAAAGAAGATTACATGCGGATCCATTCCTCATTCCCTGTTCTGTAGCTCTTTCAGATGGTTTGGAGGTCTGGCATTTTTCAAAAAATGTGTAAACTGTAAACCCTATAACTGGGTGCTGCCCCCACCCACAACAATTGGACAATGTCTATATTATGGCTACTGCCTTATTATTACCCCCCATTATAGGCTGTTACTGGGTGGGG